AACAACCACTTCACGAATCGCAGAGTTCACTTTGCGGAAGAGATCCATATTACTATTGCTTAAAAAAAAAAAAAAAAAGATTCTTGAAATATATCCATCAGAATCGGAACATGAGAGAGAAAGCATGGCTGCTGCAGAAATGCAGAATGCAACACATCCTCGCTGAGTTTCATACCAATGGGCACGTTTGTTCTTTCTTGCAGGTTTTCTTTCATGTTTTGTGTGTGTGTTGTCCCATTCCCTATACACAGCTCCACAAAAAAGAGAAGAGCATGACTGTGCCAGACTCTTTCATCCGACTTTCACTGACTGTGTGTGCTGTAATGTGCCTGTGTGTTTGTTGTAGAGGTTGTTGTTTTCCCTGCCTCCGATGCAGCCGGCTTCCAACTGAGGCGGAGGCAGTGTTGGGCACACAGCCCAATCACACGTTTGTTCGTGTTTGTTTCTCACGTGCTGGTCTTGGGGTTCGATCCCCGGGCCAACTCTTTAAAACTGCGCACGAAATCAAAACGCCAAACGTAGCCCGCATGATCAGGCTGCTGCAACCCACAATGAATGAAGTCATCAATTCAGTTCAGCAATCAAGAGACAGACAACAATCTACTAGGCTACCAGAGTGGCCTTGGTTAGAGGTCCGGTGTTGCAACGGGGAGGTTGCCCGTTCGATTCTCTCGGCCCTCAACCTTCCCGACGCATTATTAGTTGGTGCTAGATTGGCACCCCGTGTACTTGTCCCCCAGCCTAGCACAGCCCAGATGAGCCGCTGCAACCCGCGGGAAACATACACGATTGCTAGGAGGCGGCACAAGCGGAGGAGCGCTATGGCCGTAAGGGAGTGGGGTGTGCTCTGGAGGATTGCTACGCGGGTAGGGTGTCTCATGGGCGGGGTGTGGACCGCCGTTCTGCCCAGGCATCGTCGTGTAGGGTGGCCATGTCCTTGGCGAAATCGAGATCGAGTGCAGAGTAGGGGGTAGGGGAGTGGTCTACCCTGAATTGTGAGGAGGCGGGTAGGGTTGTGGGGTGTGCACGAAATAGTCGAATTATATAATGGGTAATAAATACTAATACTGGGTTAAAAAAAAAAAAACAAAAAAAAACTAGGTAATTATTAATTAGTCATATTTGAACATTATGGTTATTTAGTAGTAAAAATTATAAAATGAAATCAGACTGCACTCCAAGCTCGCTTGTAACACGCACACACGCGGACTGATGGCAAAACCAAACTCTTTCAACTCAGAATCAACATCGAACTTGCACTTAAACTCTGTTCAAGTCAACCGTACAACTTGCGGCTATGGCCACCGAACACTATCTTCACCACCAGCCTCACTCTCCCTCGTGTACACATGTCCGAGGATCTACCCTGAATGTCCACGCTTCGCATGCACACACACTCTGTACACTCTGTCTGTTCCAGCAGATGGCGGCTATGGCCGCCGTCGTCTTCCTCCTCCTAGCTATGGCCGCCGTCGTCTACCTGGCCAGCTATGGCCGTCGTCTTCCTCACTGCCCACTTCAACTCCGGGCACCTGCAGACCTCCACGCACAAGTCACCAAGGCAGCGCTTCCGCATGGCTCACAGGCGAATGAATAATGGCTGGACGCTGCCTCTCTATTTATACTTCTTTCGGAGATGGCCGGGCCCTGCCTCAAAACGTGTGGGCTCGGGCCAAAACGCGTGGGCCTGGCCCCTTACTGCGTGGGGCCCGGGTCTGGAATCTTCCACGCCGCGTAGGCCTGGTAGGTCCAAAACGCGTGGACCCTCCGGGCCAAAACGAGTGGCTCCAACACGCGCTTCCGGAGCCTTCTGCATACCGCATGGCCATAACCTTCCCCCCCGTGCAGCCCTTCCCCGATACTTGCTGCCTGGCCCCGCCTACCCGGACCTACAGCCTTCTAGAGCCTACAGACCTACGGACTTACTCTAGGCCCTCAGTAGACTCAGGTAGAGACTTCTAGAACAGACCCTCCTAGGACTACCGAGTCCACTGGTAACGGACTTAACTACTAACCTACAGACCTAGGGATCAAGTCCAACTTACCCGACCCATTGGCTAACCTATGACACAGGACAGGTCGTGGGTTCGAATCTCACACAGATCACCGGGTCAACGTACAGGGTACATGGGGTAGGTCCAGGGATTGAATCTCAGGTCTGTGCCTGTCGAGGTAAACTGGGTGAAACCGTTTCAAAAGTACTTGAATAAGAATATATGAAACACTTTCACCCAGTTCAAGCGACAGTACTGATCCCAGTGCTCGATCCTTAGACCTACCCATAACCCCTGTACATCTACCCGTTGACCCTGTGTGCCTCGAACCTGCGACCTGTCCCTAAAGTCGTAGGTCATCGTTTCTGAATGTTACTTGGGTCGTGGGGACTTGAACCTTAGACTATAGGATTACCGTCTTCACCCAAATAGAACGCCCGGTCATTATAACTGTGTTTGGTGGAACTTTAAGTCTACATGCAGTGATAATGACCGGGCGTTCTCTTCGGGTGAAGACGGTAGTAGTCTTTTAGGGTCAGTCAGGAAGTTTAGACCTACCTACGTACAGCGAAGGGCCAGTCTACGTTAGCCTCGCGTCAACTTGACCTTTCGAGACTGTAGAAGTCAGTCGGTCAGTCTACCTAGTCCAGTCAGCAGTTCCCAGTCCAAGTCCACCTTGTCCAGTCAGCAAGTACCAGGTGGGGCTGCACACGTTTGGGCCTGGGACCGGTGGCAGGCCAGACCGCCAGCAAAACAGTATGAATAAAGAGGCAGCACGCAGCCATTCATTCATTCATTCATTTCATTCATTCGCCTGCCAGCCATGTGGCAGCGCTGCTGGTGCGACTTCTGCACGGAGGTCTGCAGGTGCCCGACGACGAAGAGGGAAGAGGTGGATGACGACGGCCATAGCCACCTAGAGGAGGAACCGACGGCGGCCATAGCGGCCGAGCGATGACGTCAGTAGTCTGTAGCGACTGTGTGTGCAAGGGTGCGTGGACATTCAGGCTAGACTCTGGTGCGTGCGTGCGGGCCTGACGCAGTGTTCGGCTGGGAACTCAGACAGCATTCAGCGGCCATAGTCACTAGATGTCACAGGTTGACCTAAGCTCCGTTCCTGTCCGTTCAGCGGCCCTCTCTCTGAGTTTTCTGTGTGGGCGCTAGACGCCATCTCAAGTTTGTTCCCGATCTTCGTATTGCATCTCAAGGTTGTTTGCCATCAGCATCTACATGTATGCATGTTGGGAATGAAGCTGAACCAAGTCTGATTGGCAGTGATTGCATGTACAATAATGATTATTAAATATTGTTAGCTTGCAAGAAAAAAAAAAGGCACGAAGCACACATTGCACAACAAGCAACACACCGACGAGCACTTAACCACGACTCCATCCGGATATATTTTGAGTAATCAATAATAATTAAGAAGACTAAATAAGTCGCATTTCCCCGATCGTAAAATCTAGAGTACCGCCGTGAGGAAATGACGTAATAGTAGTGGTACACATTCCTACCGAACCTCTACCACAATCAGGCCCAAGTTCAACACAAGATTAAATAGAGTGCCCCCTGTCGATTCAAACTTGGGCACTTAAGATTTTTTTTTTTTTTTTTTTAAGGGTGACGGCCCTGAGATATCACCATTGAATCGACTGCCCTCCCCCCCCCCCCCCAATTCAGAATCGTTTTATTTTGCTCATCTGACAGTGTCTGGATTCGAACTTGGGGTCGGTATTTCAACACTTCATGGACTGAACTCTAGGCCCGTTGGTGCTTGTAGACAAGAAAAGTGAACCTTGCAGACAGAAATACAGACCCCAAGTTCGAATCCAGACACGGTCATCTGACAGTGTCTGGATTTGGGCTTTTGGAGTGGTGGCTTAATAATAGTCTCTACCTCAACACTGACCTCCCAGACAACATGCAGACAGAAATACAGACCCATGTTCAAATCCAGATGCAATCAGATGATCAGAAGGAAATCAGTTTTAACTTTTAATCACCTGGGGCCGGTCCAACGCCGATAGACCTGTGGACATTTCCGGAGATGTGAGCTGGGTCAATGGGGGAGGTCAATGAGAACTCCACCGCTCGTCCTCCGTAGTCCACCCCATGTGCAGCGTTCCGCTAACCTTTGTACTCTGTATTTGAGATCTCATAAGCTACTCTGTGTGTGTGTGTGTGTGTGTGTGTGTGTATGCATGGTATGAAACATGTGTATCTCATAGTGAAGCAGGTTACTTGATGAAGAGGATATCTGACGATCGTCGTGGTTTTCAAAAAAGGGAACAAAAAAGGGCAGAAGGGTGGAAAAATGGGAGTGTCCTGAGATGTAAAAAGAAGGGGGTGTTTGACGAGAGAGGAGGTAGGTAGGTACTACCGGTAGGTAGGCATCGTTTTACTAGCTTACTTGGCGACAGCAACTTGAGCCCGGACTCTTCTCAAGAAAGTGTGGCCTTGTTGCCTCAACGAAGCGATGTGACCGGGCAGCTTCAGATGGCTATGGTGCAAGCCAAGGAGCATGTTGGCCTTGTGCTGATACACATAACTGGCCACACACAAAGAGAAGACAACAAGATTGTACAAAGTTACAAACAGATTAGGAAAAGCCCTGCAAAGTGGTGCAAACCCTAAACCAGAAACACACCAGAAGCGTCCTCCAGGACATCCGTTAAAATTGGAACGACAGTTACGACACGGAGAGAAGATTAACATGGCCCCTGTGCCACAATGGCATGCACAAAATCGAGAAACGGTCCAAATTAGAAAAAAAAAAAAAAAAAAAAAAAAAAAAAAAAAATCCTCCACCGGGGCATCCGTAAAATTGGAACAATACAGAGACAAGATTAGCATGGCGCAAGGATGACACGCATAAACCGAGAAAAAATCTCCCCCCCCCCCCCCCCCCGCAAAAAAAAAAGAAGTTCCAAATTAGAACGGGAACAAACCCAAAGCGAACCACAAAACAAACCACAAATAAACCATAAGCAGACTAGAAAACAAACCGCAAACAGACCGCAAACAGACCACAAACAGACCACAAACAGACTGCAAACAGACCACAAACAGACCGCACAAGAGCCGCAAGCAGAACAGAAATACGCCATAAGAAAACTACAAACAAACCAGGAACAAGACCAATGAATTGGGCACCCAAAAATTGTATTGTTTAAATTTATTTTCAGTGTTTCACTCGATTGTGTGCCATCGTTGCATTTCACCAAACGGGATTTCGTCAAACGTAGTTGGGAATGTGGAGGATGACGAAGAGCCTCTCTCTCTCTCTCTTTCTCTCTCTCTCTCTCTCTCTCTCTCTCTCTCTCTCTCTCTCTCTCTCTCTCTCTCTCTCTCCTTCTTTCTTTCATAAATATCATAATTATAGCATATTATCCTTCTCAAATGATTGAGTGCTACTCTCTCTCTCTCTCTCTCTCTCCTCCTTCCCTCTCTCTCTCTCTCTCTCT